GGTCTGTGCAGTGTCGTATGACATCTATGTACCAAGTTTCATTGAAATGTGATGATTAGTACTTGAGATATCAGTGGAAAAACCGAAAATTGACTAATCATTATGCAAATTAGGTAATTAGTATCCACGGATTATTACCAAAAACTAATCAAAACCTAGCATTAGTTCAGAGCATCTATGTACCAAGTTTCATCAAAATCCAATGAGTAGTTGTTTAGATATCAGTGGAACAGTCATGGAACCACTAAAAAATAGCTAATTATCATGCAAATTAGGTAATTAATATGCACGGATTTTTACCAAAAATTAATCAAATCTGCGCATATGTTCAGAGCATCTATGTACCAAGTTTCATCAAAATCCAATGAGTGGTTCTTTAGATATCAGTGGAACAGTCATAGAACAGCTAAAAAATAGCTAATTATCATGCAAATTAGGTAATTAACGAGCATGGATTTTTACCAAAACCTAATCAAATCTGCGCATTGGCCCAGAGCATCTATGCACCAAGTTTCATCAAAAACCGATGTATGGTTCTTGAGATAGCAGTGGAACAGTCGGACACACATACACACATACAGACACACTAACTGCAAAGACTCCCATTTTGTGCTTCGCACATGGGAGTCAAAAATGAAATATCCCCTTTAACGTGGCCTCGAAGTCTGATATTTGTTTCACAGTTTTACAAGCGTCCAAAATCGCCAATTCTACCTTGTGCGCCACACAATGAATACCAATAGATGACGGGACAACGTCTTTTATTTTTGTGACGACACCCGTCTTCTTTCCCATAAAAGTTTGATGCACCATAAAAGTTTGATGATATAAGAGATGTTTTTTTTCTCCCTATCAGGGTTGAGATCGTCCAAATTTAAATCAACACTTGATAATACATTCGTCAAAGCATCAAAAACCCCCTGTGATGTGTCATTTTCTACCGATGTAATCGCAACCTCGCGGATGACAGGTAACTTGGTACGTGGCCCAACATAACGTACATAGGTAATTTCCTGTTCAATAGTTGACTTGTCGGTACTACCGTCCCAAGAACACTGATAAAATTTACTGTCTTGATTTCTTGGGAAATGTCCTTTCATAATGTTGAAGGAATGTGTTCCATAAATTCTGTACAGCCATGACTATTAATAATAATAATAACTTTATTTAATTAAGCGCAACAATTCCAACATATGAAGATCAAAGGCGCTGATACAATAAACAATCAGTCAAATATTAAAAGCACATTTAAATAAGTGCGTTTTCAGTCTGGATTTAAAAATGTCTACTGAAGGACTAGAACGAACAGACAGAGGTAATTCATTAAAAAGTTTAGGACCTAAATTTTCAAAAGCACGGTCTTTGTATAACACCTTGGACTTTTTACTACACACCTGACGAGTTTTAATAAGAAACTTTGATTCAGATCTTAAACTACGACTAGGTACATAAAATTCGATTAATTCACATAGATAATTTGGGGCAAAACCATACAAAGATTTATACACTAGTAAAAGTAATTTGAAATTGATTCTTTGTACAACTGGTAACCAATGAAGTTTAATAAAAATGTCTGTAATGTGGTCATATTTTCGAGCACGAGTGACAAGGCGGGCTGCTGCATTTTGTACACGAATAAGAGGTTTTATCTTAGTTACAGGGAGACCAGACAATAATGAATTACAGCTGTCTAAGCGAGAAGATATGATGCATGTACCAACTTTTCAGTATCAGATTGGGATAATGATTTAC